GTTACTTTTAAAAAAAATATGAATTGTCACCTGGAGGGGAGAGTGGCATAAAACAGGAAATTGGTCTCTTTTGTGTGTTTCTCTACTTTTTAAGTGCTATTGCAAGCATGAATGCTATAAAAGTACCAATTATAAAATTATCAAAATTTGAAAAAGCTACAATAACTTTTTTTTTTTTTTGTGAGGAAGATCAGCCCTGAGCTAACATCCATGCTAATCCTCCTCTTTTTCCGGAGGAAGACCAGCTCTGATCTAACGTTTATTGCCAATCCTCCTCCTTGTTTTTTCCCCCCAAAGCTCCAGTAGATAGTTGTATGTCATAGTTGCACATCCTTCTAGTTGCTGTATGTGGGACGCGGCCTCAGCATGGCCAGAGAAGCGGTGCGTTGGTGCACGCCCGGGATCCGAACCCGGGCTGCCAGTAGCGGAGCTCACGCACTTAATTGCTAAGCCATGGGGCCGGCCCTACAATAACTTTTCTAAAGAAAAGAAAACAACATAGTATGTGGAAATCCATGTTCTCACCTTAATAAAGAATATAAATAAATCCTTGTTCCTTGTTTAGGAATTTTGCAATATTTGGTAGTCATCATTCTATGCAATAAATAAATACATAGATAAAATTTAAAAAGAAACATAATTAGGGTGAAAAAAATGTTCTGCCAGCCTGCATAGACACAACCTTAGAATCACAACATAGTTTATAAATTTCCCATATGTCAGCACACCAAAATAAGAGAACACTGTAGCTTTCCAAATGGCCACAAATTATCACAACTACCTTCTTTGGGACTTTTCCCTTTCCTAGAGGACACCGATAATTATTTTAGTTTGACTTTGCTGAGACTGGTATATTTTGCTGTGGGATTGTGGAGAGGCCCACCCCAAGTAAGTCGTTGTTTACACTAGGTGCTCCAAATTGTATTTATCATTGACCTGACGTATGATTAATGCGTGTATATACATGTTTGAGATGGTTCTGTGCACTGAAGATACAGCAGTAAATAAGTCATATAATTTTCCTTCTCTGGTGGAGCTTTTATTTTTGTGAAGGAGACAGGCGATATGCAATGAATGATTTAGATTAGATAGATAGATCGGTATATGATAGATAATTTAAATTAGAAAATAGATGGATGGATAGATAGATATAGGCAGGCAGACATGGTTGTACATGTTACATAGAAGAATAAAGTATGTTGGAGGGTAGATGTAGCTGAGTAATAGGGAAGTGAACAGTGAGAGGATGGACATGTCTGGATCAAAATGGATCACAGATTTACATGAAAAAATGCAAAACTATAAAACTCCTAGAAGATAACACAGGAGAAAATCTAGATGATGTTGGGTTTGCTGATGACTTTTCAGACAATCCTTAAAGGAAGGAATTGTTTGAAAGACACTACCTAGAGAATAAAAATACACGCCACAGACTGGGAGAAAATATTTGCAGAAGACATATCTGATAAAGGACTATTATCCAAAATATACAAAGAACTCTTAAAACTCAACAATAAATAAAGAAAACCTGATTTAAAAATGAAAGAAACATCTTAACGACACCTCACCAAAGATGATATACACGTGGCAAATAAGCATAAAAGATGTTCCACATTGTATGTTATCAGGGAAATACAAACCAAAACAATGAGATACTACTACACACCTATTAGAATGGCCAAAATCTGAAACACTGATTACACCAAATGCTGGAGAGGGTGTAGAGCACCAGGAACTCTCATTCATTGCTGGTGGGAATGCAAAATGGTACAGCCAGTATAAGAGAAAGTTTGGAGGTTAGTTTTGTGTGTATGTATGTGTATATATGTGTGTGTAAAATATATTATATATATATATATGTGTGTATATATAGGTAGATATACTTTTTTTGAAATACAAAAACCTGTAGATTTTTGATGTATACAACTTGATGACTTGATGAGTGTGGAGATAAGTATACACCTGTAAAACCATCATCACAATCTATACCATAAACATATCCATAACCTCCAAAAATTTCCTCCCATCCTCTTTATATATTACTATCATGTTTTGTGTGATAAGAAAACTTAACATAAGATCTACCCTGTTAGCAAATTTGTAACTATACAATACAGTATTGTTATAAAACTAAACATATTCTTATCACACAATCCAGCAATTGCACTCCATGGTATTTACCCAAAGGAGGTGAAAACGTATGTCTGTGCAAAAACCTGCACATGGATGTTTATAGCAGCTTTGTTCATAATTACCAAAATTTAGAATCAACCAGGACGTCTTTCGGTAGGTGAATGGATAAATAAACTGTGGTACATGCAGATGATGGAATATTATTCAACACTAAAAAAAATGAACTGTCAAGACATGAAAAGACACGGAGGAAGCTTAAATGCATATTACTAAATGGAAGAAGTCATTCTGAAACAGCACATACTGTATGATTCCAACTATATGACATTCTTGAAAAGGAAAAACTATGGAGACAGTAAAAAGACCAGTGGTTTCCGGAGGTAACGGGAAAAGGTGGGATGAATCAGCAGAGCACAGAGGATGTTTAGGACAGTGAAACTACTCTGTATGATACTATAATGCTGGATATATGTCATTATGCGTTTTCAAAAACCCGTGGAATGTACAACACCAAGAGTTAACCCTGATGTAAATTATGGACTTTAGGTGATAATGATAGTCAATGTAGGTTCATCACTTCTAACAAATGTACTACTCCAGTGGGGGACGTTGATAGTCGGGGAAGCTACACATGTGTAGGTGCAGGGGGTATATGGGAAAACTCTGTACCTTCTGATCTATTTTTTTTGAGCCTAAACTGCTCTAAAGAAATAAAATCTATTAAAAATGTCTGGAAAGGTAAAATTTAAGCTGAGAATGGATAATTTGAAGGAGTCAGCAATGTGAAGTTCTAGGAGCATTGTGTTATAGGCAGAGGGAACAAGTGGGAAGCCTTGAAACTGTAATGATCTGTGTAATTAAATATAGAAAGAAATCCAGTGTGACAAGAGCATGGTAGACAATTTTGGTACCAGAAGAAGGCAGAGAAGTAGTCAGCAGCCAGGTCATTAAAGGCCTTATAAGCCAGAGCAAAAGAGAAGTTTACACTAAATGTGACACCAATACACTAGAAGATTTAGAGTAATGAGGAACGTGATGATATCTGTGTTGAGAATGGAACAGGGTGTGGTGGTGAGAGGGGAAGTAGGGGGCTTCACCTGCATTTAGGGGATTTTTGGGGTTTCCAAGTGAGATATCATGGCTGATTGGACTTCTAGTGTGGAAGTGGTAGGAATAGAGTGAAGTAGACCAATTCAAATATTTTGGAGGTAGTCAGGCAGGACTTACTAATAGATAATGACCAACCAATTTTGTATTGAGTCAGAGGGTAGATGTCAGTGTCATTTACTGAGTTGGTGAAAACTTGGGGAAAAACAGGTTTCAATGGAGAGGTATCAAGAGTTCTCTTTGGGACACATTAATTTTAAGATGCCTGGAAGAGAGTCGAGTAGACGCTTTAATGTTTGTTTATATGAATTTGGAGCTGAGTGGAGAAGTCAGTACTGGGTTTAAAATGTAGGATTCAGCAGCATAAGAATAGTATATAAATTCATGGGAATGGCTGGAATAACTCAGAGAAATATATAGACAGAAACGAGAAGAGAAGCTAAGATAATAAGACACTGCTCTCGAAATTGGCTGCATGAAGGTTCTTGGTGATCTTGGTGCATTTCAGCAGAATGGTAAAGGCAGAAGCTCAATGTTCTTTCCCTATACATTAAATTTGAATCTAAAAGTTGACTTTTGAATACCATGTTAGATAGACTGAAATAATAATCTTAAGGGCTTTTTTTTTTAGAAGAAAAGGGGGATTTAAAATGATTCCTTAAATTCTCAGAGAGATGCTAACCTTTCCAGAAAAGTTTGAAAAACTGAACATGGAATTTTACTACAAGCAGAGGGAGAATGAGGAGTTTCCTGGAAGGGAGAGAGAACAGTGGGTCAGGATTTGACTCGCTTTGTCATTACAGCTGATCTCAATCAGCAAGGTAGGGCCTCCTGGAAGACCGTGAGTTACAATAGCCATTAAGCCTTGAGTAGTTGATGTAGGGGACAGGGACCAATGTTTAAAGAGCAGGCGACATGATTATACCTCACTGTTCATAGAAAGCTAGCTCTTGACAGCATGTGAAATAGGAGTCCCTTGGTTTAATATCAAGGAGAAGCTTTATCTTGCATGCAGAGTTTATACTGTCAAGGATAAAGGGGAGAAAAGATCACTTAGCAAGTCCTGCAACAATGTTGAGTTTATCTGAGAGGGAACATTTGAAATCAGAGAAGATTTAATTGCCACTAATTGGGAAGTCCAAGGGTTTTGCATTTTGCTTTATATTATTTTTTATTTTTCTTCACGTTAATAGGACTTATGGGTCACAAAAGAGTTTAATATAGTTATAAACATATAAAGTTAATTGTTTTCAAATCTAAATAATATCATGTAGATATTTTCACTCGGACTGTTCAATTCTAGTTAATTCGGTTTTGTATACACATTTAGCAATTTATCAGGAATCTCTTTAATATGCCTCATTTAAATTTACTCACATTTGCAATTTGGGCAATTTTGATTTTCATCCTTTAAATTGAGAGAAGTTGTCTAGTATTTTCTGTTAAAAAAAAAGAAAACCCCTCAATAAGTAATTGTTAAAGTTATCATATTTCATAATCCAATCTCTTCTTCACAATAAATAACTGTACTGCCCTTAACCTTTTCACTGACACTTTCTGAATCTTCATTCATGTGGTGTTCCCACCAAACTGTTCAAATATTTCTTATAATGAGATAACTCAAACTTGATAAAATTCTAGTAAAAATCTAATCAGTAGATTACAGAGATTTTATAAGAATAAGTGTCAATTCAGACCTTTAAATTGATTCAATTATTGTTTATTCCCATTTGGTTTAAAATAAAACAAAACTAGCTTACCAGTTGTATTTAGCTGGGTGTGCAAGTGGAACATTCAACATCCGTCCACCTGGTTGTGGCTATTTACACTTCACAGAGAGTGGTATAGGCTCACACAGAAGTAATAATATTTTCATTTTTTTTTTGATGAATGCTACCTTTGATTTGTATTCATATTCATTTGAAAGTAGACTTTCTGAAATTTGTTTAACTTCCTCTCATGACTCCTATATTTCTTCATTTAAACCTCTGGATGCAGCTTCAGATTGTTTGAATCTATGGAGTCAACATAACGCCTACTTGGATTTTTTTGAAGCCTTTGTTGAGTTTTTTTTTTTTAATCCACAGATTCAGTGTCATTAACTTTTATATCCTTATTTGAATATTCTTCTTTAAATCTTTCTTGGGATCTTTCACTGAATCCTTTATATCCCCAAATTTAGCACAAGCATCCTCCAAATCCTTCAATGAGTTCTCTCTTAATTTTTCTTAACTTGTTCCTCACATTTTTAATGAAGCTTCTCTGAGTCTTTCTTTGTGTTCTTCTTTGCTTCATTTAAAAAATTATTTGATTAATATTTGAACTGCTCTTTACTCTCGTAGATTCAGTTTCAGACTACTAAAAGTGTTTTATCAAATATACTTTTGAATTATTATTGAAGGCCTACTTGCCCTTCTTTGCTTCCTTCTTTGCATCCTTCTTTGCATCCTTCTTTGCATCTTTCTTTGCATCTTTCTTTGCATCCTTCTTTGCATCAGCAGAATCTGTCTCAGTTTCTTTTTTGGCATCTTTCTTGGCATCATCCTTTGATTTGCTATCTGTCTTACCGGGCTTCTTTTCATCTTTCTTTTCTTTTTTACTCCCCTTCCCCTTTGCATCTTTCTTGTCCTTTGATTCATCACCCTTATCACTGGGTTTCTTTGTGTCTTTTTTCTCATCCTTATGCTTCTTTGCATCCTTTTTTTCACCTTCGGATTCCGTAGCTGGCTCCTTGCCCTTCTTTGCTTCTTTCGTATCTTTTTTGGCATCTTTCTTTGCATCCTTTTTCTCTTCTTCGGATTCTGTAGCAGGCTCCTTGCCCTTCTTTGAATCTTTCTTATCTTTTTTGGCATCTTTCTTTGCATCCTTTTTCTCATCTTCGGATTCTGTAGCTGACTCCTTGCCCTTCTTTGAATCTTTCTTATCTTTTTTGGAACCTTTCTTTGCATCCTTTTTCTCATCTTCAGATTCGGTAGCTGACTCCTTGCCCTTCTTTGAACCCTTCTTGTCTTTTTTGGCGTCTGTTTTTGCAATGTCTTTTTCGCCTTTAGTTCCTATTTCTATATGCTTGTCTTTCTTTGAATCTTTCTTTTTTAACTCCTGTAATGCTGTGGGTTCTGTTTCTGAGTCGGATTTTCCCTTCTTTTCTGCCTTCTTGTCTTCATCTTTCTTACTTATTGCTGGAGATAAGGGCTTCTGTACACCTGCTACTCCAGCCTCTTCCCTGGGGCGACGAGTTGATTTAGCTGTAGGCTGCGTCCTGGCAGCTAAATAAGCAGATGGATCGGAAATTGTCATTACAGAATGGTGCATCCATAATGGTTGTCTACGACGTCCCCTTAATTTGCCTTGATCATGTTCCTGAAATATTGGTTAAAATAATGATGAACAACTTGGTTTGAGTTACACAACCTTTATTACCAGATATCAAATACGTTTTAACTTCAACCATGAGAAGATCTTAGATTCTGATAAATAGTGCATGAATTGTAGATTTCATAGTTTATTCTGCTTTTTTAATTTCATTCTTTTTTGGCCTAGTGGATAGCCATGCCTCATGTTGGGCCTAATTTCAATTTAGAGGATCTTCATAATTTCCTCGAGATTTTATATTAAAATTCGTAGAGATCTCCACTAACTGATGACATATCAGAACCTCTCTTCACAATCAGGAGAGGGTTTTTTTTTTTTTTTGACTCTGTGTTCTTGAGAATTTCTGGGTTGTTTTGCCCACTGTCTATTCCTATGCCAACTCAGAAACTAATTATTCTCTAATATCAAATAGTTTCGTGTTTAGGTATATCCTGGTCTCTATTGGCACATTCAAGTTTTCTGGAATTTAGAATGCTACTTGTGGTTAAAAATAAAAGCATGAAACTCCTCCTGTTTGGCAAGATATAAATTGAGTATTATCAGATAGGCAATTGCAATAATGAAACCTGTAACATTCAGAGCACAATAGTTTGTACAGAATGGTGCATTTTGTTTTCAACTTCTGACCAAACATTTGCAAAAGCTTAATTACAAAAACAGCAAATTTTGGAAAGTATGTTAACAAATAATAGAAAAATAAATTGAATAAAGAAAGAAAGGAATGGAAAAGAACATGAGAAGACAGAAGAAACCTGGATCACTACAGATTGGGTACATTTTATAAAATAAACCAGAGTTGTTGATACATTTATCTTGTGAAAACTTTTCTTTGAATATTTTCATATCCCATGATGACTCTGGAAACATTGGGAGATATTTATCTTCCAATATTTCAGAATCCTAAATTCTCTGGTACAGCAAATGAGGAAGCATTGAAACTTCATCAGGTTATAATGTAACTCCATGATTCTAATGAAGGAGTTTCTCCAGCTGGGGAAAATTTCCTGCATGTTCATTCTAACTGTAGTATTAGGATCTCCAAATTTTTGTGCTCCTTGGATACATATTTTCTATAATGTGGGGTTACTGAACAAATAGTTAATATGAAATGAGAGGACAATTTTTATACAGTGAAATGCAAATAAAATAGATCTACTTTCTCCAAGTAGTAAAATTTGAATTACCTTTAACTGTGCTATCCAATTTGATATTCAAAAGCCACATCTGAATTGAAATGAAATGAAATGTAAAATTTAGTTCCTCAGTTACACTAGTCTGATTTCAAGTGCTCAAGAGCCATACTGGAATGCAAAGAGATAAAATATTTCCAGCATCATTGAAATCTCATTGGTCAGCATTTATCTGTAACATATATAACGATATATGGTTTCACAAGTTTATTACTAGTAAAATTATATGATCTTTTCAATACTCACAGGAATTCTATTGTCTTGTAATTGGGAAGGCATTGATCTCCTTTTTCTTCCTGGCCGTGGCGGTTTGGGAAATGCCAGGGCAAAGTATTGCTGATTCCATGATTTTCTGTTTAATTCACTGACTAAGATAAGAAAAATATTAAACATACACTTTGGAGTAAATAGAATTTCTTCAGAATTAAAATCAGTAAGGTAATACATTTCATGTAAATGAATAAACAAATGATTCAAGTTATGACTTCATTTATTTGATGATGTTTGAAATTCTCTGCTAATAATAGGAGAAAATAAAAATTGATTTTTCTATTTTGACCAGCTTTACAGATGACTATATAAAGTAGTCATTGTGAAACTAATATAGTCTGTAATATAAATGGAAGGAAACAGTTTTGCTCATTCCTTTTCATCTTTCTGTCTCTGCCAGTCTAGATTTCGCTTTGTACTCTTTTAGTTAGAATACAATTCTATTGAGAACAGAAATATGATAACTACTTCTGTGGCCCCCAAAGTACTTAGCGTAGTACCTATTATAAAATATTTAGTAACTATATGATTGAATCTACATGCTGTTGCTTAATATCGTCTTAGTTGGTAATCATTTTCCAAGCTACAAGAGTAAATGTTATACGCCCAAGGACTGCGTTGTTATAGGTGGCATGTTAATGAAGAAAACTGACAAATAAAGAGTACCTACAGAATTGTGACTGGGAGTGTAAAGTTACCTGGAAACTAGACTAGAAATGGTTAAAGACATTTAGGTTTCCAATGAGACCAATGAGAGAGATATCCCCACTGTATTCAAATAGGTGTAATAATACTGTGTGTAAGAGAAAATGGACGTGTCCTGTGAGTCTCCTAAAGACAGAATCAGGATCAGTGAGAAAATAGGCAGAATGAAAGGCACATTTAGGCTCAGTGTATGAGGGAAAATCACTTGATGTATGATGTCCTTCAAAATTCAATTGACAGGGCCGGCCCTGTGGCTTGGTGGTTAAGTGCGCGCGCTGCGATGCTGGCGGCCCGGGTTCGGATCCCGGGTGCGCATCGAGGCACCACTTTTCCGTTCATCCTGAGGCCGAGTCCCACATGCAGCAACTAGAAGGATGTGCAGCTACGACACACAACTATCCACTGGGGCTTTGGGGGGAAAAAATAAAATAAATAAAATCTTTAAAAAAAAAAAAAATTCAATTGACAGTCCTTGTCAAGTAATGAATTTTTTTGCCATTTATAAGCCTGATAAAATCTCTCAGGACTGTAGTAAAAGACATTCCTGACATGGGTGAGAAGTTGTTTATCCAATTTCTACATTGCCTTTCAACAGTAAGATTATCTGATTGTACGATTTCTAACCTGTAAATATGTCCACGTTTATGTTGCTAAACATATTTGCCTAATCTTCTTTGGATTTAAAAACAAAATATCTTTAGAAAGTGTTTGCTGAGCCCCCAAGAAAGGTACCTTGGAAAATAAAAAGGTGATTTTTAATAATACTGCATGACAGCTATTGCTTTATCAAGTTCAGTGGAGGATAATAATCACTTATCCCTAAAATTAATAATACATTAAAAAAAATTTTTTTGAACTGTTTCTTACCTGGAATATAATTATCATAGCTCCCAAAGTTGACTTTCTGGCTATTAAAATAGGAGGGAAAGGTTTTAATTAATTTGTACAAAATCACTCTAAAAACATCATTATTATGCGTAAGCACTTGCCACTATCAACTAGAGAAATATTTTGCATTCTCAGATCTCTATTGTTATGTAAGATTAATTCATGTTAGGTAAATAGAGATGAGCAAATGTGTGTTTTTAGCACAGTCTTCAAGTGAACTAAAAACAAGGTGGATAAAAACATTAAAAGTAAAACCTCACCAACTTACCATATCTGAAATATAAACCTTTATATATTTTTAATCATGAAACTATGATTAAATTATTTTCCCTACCTCACACTCCAAATTCTCTTGCAATTGAATTTTAGCTAAGACATCCCTTTAAAAACACTATGGTTAGGTAAAATCAGGTCCTCAAAATACTTAACCAAATCCAAATCATTCAATGGCATACGTTTATGAATGTGTGCTTGTCAGTGTACATCACAGCTATTGATATGGATTTTGATTATTTTTGTTCTCCAGGAAAATCTGAGAAATAAAAATATGTTGCAATGTATTTTCCATTTATAAGTTTTTATTAGTTTTAGTGTTATATGAACGTTTATTTCCATACTGGGGAGTTTTATAACCTAATTTTTATTTATTTGTATTGGATGCAAATATGAAGATCTGTTAGAGAAATATTCTACATCTTCCTGTTATATTACATAAATAAATCCATTGTTGATCATGAAGGAGTTTTGGGTTTACATACACAAATACACACACACACACACACGCACTCCCACAGCGTTTTACTTATTTTCGCAATACGTAAATATTAAGAAATAAAGTATATTAAAAAAAGTTTCTTGTAAATTGGTGCAGCCACTATTGAAAACAGTATGGAGATTTGTCTTAAAATTAGAAATACCCTATTATCCAGCCACTCCACTTCTAGGTATTTATCCAAAGAACACAAAAGCACTAATTTGAAAAGATATATGCACCCCTGTATTCGTTGCAGCATTATTCACGATAGCCAAGACTTGGAAGCAACCTAAGTGCCCATCAGCACATGAATGGGTAAAGAAGATGTGGTATATATGTTTAATGGCACACTACTCAGCAAAAAGTTGAAATCTTGCCATTTGCAACAACATGGATGGACCTTGAGGGTATTATGCTAAGCGAAATAAATCAGAGAAAGACAAATACCATATGACTTCACTCATATGTGGAAGGTAAACAAAAAGCAAACATGGATACAGAGAAAAGATTGGTGGTTACTAAAGTGGAAGGGCACGTGGGTGAGGACAAAAGGGGTAAAAGGGCATATCTGTATCATAACAGACGCCAACTAGACTTTTGGTGGTGAACCCAATACAGTCTATACAGAAGTTGAAATATGATGTATGCCTGAAATTTATATAGTGTTATAAACCAATGTGACCTCAATTTAAAAAAAAACAAGTATCTTCATTAAAGCCCTGATTCCCAGCACAAGACCTGGCACATGTTCATTACTTTATAAAAATTTGAATGAGTTAATTGAATAAAATTTAGGATGTGTTAACCAGTACGTTATCTAGTCTAGTGTTTTCTTAATTGAGGACATGTGTTAAAATTACTTGCCTCACTATATCTGAATCTCTAGGTTTGCATATAGCCAATGTACATTTATACCCTGATGAAGAAATTTTGATTTTCAACCATAGTTATGAACTATCTGTTCTAAATTCTCTGAAAGTGGGACTATTTCAGGTTCATGAAACAATAATGTTTGTTTTGTTTAAATATTGTTTAAATTTGAGATTTAAAAAATGGTACATAGATACTGTCCATTTGTTCCCTGTATAATAGATCACCAAACAACTGAATTAGAAATCAATAACAAAATATATAGAAAATACATGAATAGTTGAAAAATAAACACCTCCTTCTAAATACTCAAACACGTCTTTACACTAAAGAGAATAAATGCAAAGCTAACTAGAACATTTTAATTATTTTAAAACATAAAATTTGACAGGAAGTCTTACAATCTTGGTGTAGCCATTTCCCCCAGTTGTGATTTGCCAGACCTTAAGCACTGTAAGTTCAAATAGTGATGTGGAGTGGTGACATCATAAAGAAACCAAGAGCACTGGCAGTTAAAGGGGAAAAATGAGGGGCCACTTGTACTTGTGTTTTAAAATGTTCTCTAATATTCAGTCTAAGATTGGTGTTTGCTTTCACTCATTATTATTGAGTAAATATAACTGGTAGTTTTAAATAACTGATTAATTTTACATCTTAATAAAATGCTTGTTCCAATTTTTCATGTAGCTTTAATTTATTGATTGATATGACAAAAGGATGAATCTACGCATTTATCTGTTAAGATCAGTTGTATTCCTAACTTCCCTGATATTCATGTGTCTTTTGTTAAATCCTTTGCGTAAATTTACATGGCTTTTTCCATCTTAATCTCATGGGTTGCTCATAGATACACGTTTGTTTTCACAGTTGAGTTTTTTATTGCCTGTCACTTTGATTTGTCTTGTCCCCTCCCCCCTCCTTTCCACTCCAACTAATTGTAATAATCAAAAGTTGTTCCTATTTAATGGGAAAAACACATGTATTAAGAGGGTAATTCACACAAAGGGCTTTCCTATGTAGATGGATACTTAATTGACCAGGAGCCCCCTCTTCTTGCTGATGGCTCTGAACACCACTAGGTATTATTGATGTGTTGTTTCTTGGTGGTACAAGCTGACCTTTACTGGGAAAGGTAGTACAGACAGACTCCCATATCTAGCCCTTGTTGCTGTTGGGCCTGTTTTCTCCTCTCACACAAGATTAAGGGGTAGACTCACTTGAGATTTTATGTTCTTGCAAGGCTTATTGCTGAATTTTGCAGGAGCATTAAAATAGCGTTTTTAGAAGCCATGAATCAAGTTCTATTGCAGAATTCATAATCTTCCAAATCTGGCTGCCTTCTTTTGTCAAACCTCACAGAAAGATGTGGCTTAAAATAAAGTTTATTTTTGGGTGCAAAGATCCAATGGTAATGGTGAATCTTGTTCTATAGCATATATAGGAAGTCTTCATTTAAATGAAAACATATCAACCTGTGATTTAAAAATCTGTCTACAGAAGTTTCTTATACAAACCAGAGAATTTTGCCAATGAAAAGAGTTGGGCTATAATATAGGGAACATTGATGGATTTTGAAAAGTGCCAATACTTTCTTTGAGCCTAATGAAAATCCTTTGGCTTTATTTCTTTAAAGATGCACATTGGAATAGTTATAATGGGAAATTCTGTCAGTACTTTCTTAGAACAAAAGTTTGAAATTCCTCTCTCAAAATTGCTTCCAAGTTCTAGAATCTAGCTTGAGGGAGACTAAAATCTCAGGGATCTACAGGACTTAACCTGCCGTTCAGGCATGGGCCCAGCTATCAAGGAAAGCTACAGACAATGAGGGGATTTTAAAAATATTCAAAGTTGAAAGTTCAGCTTGTGTATAGGCTCCCCTAACCTTGAGTTTGTTTTTGTAGCATGAACTGCAACTTGGAGGCCCCTCAAGGTGACGTACAACAGACAAATCTGCAGAATGGGGCACAGAGAATTCCAAACACATCTTCAATCCTAGAAATGGTGATAGGTGAAGAGGAGAGAAGAAGTTAGTCTCTTTATCTAGGTGAAAGGCGGGAAAAGATAGAACATCAGTCCACAGAGATTAGTAAAGGTGAGATAGCATCTTCAAGGATTGTTTTGGCATGTAACATCATTCTGTACAAGTGACAGGGGATAGATTAGAATAAAAATTCTGGGTCAACTCCGAGAATCATAGAATTGTCCAGATAAATAGGGTTTAACTGCATTTTTAGAAGGCTGTTAGGTAGCCAAATCATTGTCTATGTATGTTACAGTTGTGGATACGAATGCTTTATAGCCATATTGCTTTGTACAAAGTAAAGCTATTCTGTTTTATTGTTTATGAAAATATTGTTGGATTGTTGGAGGCATTACGTTTAAATAAAAAAATGCTGTGTTTTTATTTATTTATTTATTTATTTATTTTTGTGAGTAAGATTAGCCCTGAGCTAACATCTAATGCCAATCCTCCTATTTTTTTTGCTGAGGAAGATTGGCCCTGGGCTAACATCCGTACGCATCTTCCTCTACCTTATATGGTACGCCACCACAGTATGGCTTGACAAGTGGTGCATCGGTTCATGCCTGGGATCCGAGCCTGCAAGCCCCAGGCTGCCAAAGTGGTGCATGCGAACTTAACCGCTATGCCACGGGACTGGCCCCAAAATGCTATGTTTTTAATATTGTGTGTAATTATTTCATAGAGAATGATTCTATATTAGAAGAGAGAAGGAAAGGGACTTGCTGTTTTAGCTCCTATTAGTTTGATAATTGAGCTATGGAGTTAGTGGCCTAAACAATTATGTACCTTTAAGTCTCAGATTACCCAAGAAGGCATTTTTAAAAAAAATTTTCGTGAGGACATAATAGTTTATAACATTGTGAAATTTCACTTGTACATTAATATTTGTCAGTTACCATATATATGTGCCCCTTTACTTCTTATGCCCACCCTTCAACCCCCTTCCCCTCTGGTAACCACTAATCTGTTCTCTTTGTCCATGTGTCTATCTTCCACATATGAGTTAAATCATTTGGTGTTTGTCTTTCTGTTTGGCTTATTTCACTTAACGTAATACCCTCAAAGTCCATCCATGTTGTTAAAAATGGGATGATTTTGTCTTTTTTATGGCTACTATTCCATTCTATATATATACCACATTTTCTTTATCCAATCATCAGTTGTTGGGCACTTGGGTTGCTTCCCTGTCTCGGCTATTGTGAATAATGCTGCAATGAACATAGGGGGCATAAATCTCTTTGAATTGTTGTTTCCAAGTTCTTTGGATAAATACCCAGTAAGGGAATAGCTGGGTCATATGGTATTTCTATTTTTAATTCTTTGAGAAATCTGCATACTGTTTTCCATAGTGGCTGTACCAGTTTGCATTCCCACCAGCAGTGTATGAGGGTTCCCTTTTCTCCACATCCTCTCCAACATTTGTTGTTTTTTGTCTTGATAGTTACAGCCATTCTGACAGGTATATGGTGAAATCCCATTGTAGTTTTGATTTGTATTTCCCTAATGATTAGTAATCTTGAACATCTTTTCATGTGCCTGTTCCCCATCTGTATATCTTTTATGGAAAAACATCTGTTCATATCCTCTGCCCATTTTTTGATCGGGTTGTTCTTTTTTGGTTGTTGAGTTGTATGAGTTCTTTATATATTTTGGAGATTAACCCCTTGACAGATATATGATTGCAAAAATTTTCTCCCAGTTGGTGGTTGTCTGTTCGTTTTGTTCCTGGTTTCCTTTGCCTTGCAGAAGCTCTTTAGTCTGATGTAGTCCCATTTGTTAATTTTTTCTTTTGTTTCCTTTGCCTAAATAGACATGGTATTCAAAAAGATGCTGCTAAGACCGATGTCAAAGAATAGGGTCGAGGGATGGGGAGTGGGGATGAGAAAAATCACAAGCTCAGCCCTTGGATCAGAAAAAGTGTAGAGGAGCAATGTGGCCCTGGGTAGGAATGCAGGCTGGGCCGTGGTCTTAACTTGATTTACAAGTCGTATATTTAGACATATGGCACTTGGGCTTTCATCTGTATTCTTGCCCCAGCCCCTGCAGATGTTAGAGGAGAGTGTGATCTAAATCACAATTCTTGTAATTTTAGTCAGATCCTTTTCACACTAACTTTTATGTTTTATTATGTAGTCTTATCTATCCTATTATATTGTGACTCATTTATGAACCTATAAACTATGTGCCATAGCAGAGTGAGAGAATTTGAATTTCCAACAATAATCATATCAGTACAGATAAAATACCAACTTAGCATAAATCACCAGAGTTCACAGGAGAGAGTCAAAAAATTAATGAACTAAGCAAATGAATAGAGAATCTGGAAAGACACATGAAAATTACATTTACATTGTACATACATGTAAAAGATTTTAACATTTCCTTGATGAGGAATGATTGGACTTAGCTTTGTGTGTTGATACTGCTATGCATAGGTGTTATCAGTAAATATCCTTCACTTGTTCCCATGTGAAGTTCATTAGCAACTATTCATATCTCTTTAATCATCAGACATTTGCAATTATTATTTTCCTGCCAGTGTAGACAAATCCGCTCAACAGTCTCTTATTTAATGATGCTCTATAAATTTATTATAATCCACATTCCATAACTTATGGTGGAGGCATTATAAGGGAAAGTAGAAAAGATGATTTTGCAAATGCTATCTGAACCCACTTTCTTAGCGGTATGCTTACTAATGTCATATCCAGGGATCTCATGGTCCCTTCATATACATCAGCCAATCAACACTTGAAAACTTCCTTAAGATCAAAATGGTATCTTGGCACCAGACATAAAGCCTAGGATCTCAACATTCCTCTTAAAGACCAAACTCCCATAGCTAAACTTGAATATCCAATAGAGATTATAGTACTCTCTATATAAATATATATGACTAACAAGGTGATTATAGAACTGCATAAGATAAATGTAATGAGAATACTTCAAAAAATGTAGAAGTTAGCTAGGGATAAAATCACTCTCCAGAGAAGCACAGTAAAGAGGCATTACATATTAAAATGTTTGAAATAAATGCTGATTAATGATGTCTCTCACCTAAATCAAAGTTTTAAGTATAAAAAATTAGATCTTTCTAATATCAAAACTATTTTTTACAAAATAAAGAAGGTGTTCAAACAGAACACATGCACACACACTATACACTTCTTATTTCTTTCCTTATATTTTTTTCTTGAGTGTAGTTGTTCTTTTTTCAGGTTACCAGAGTCTTGAGGTATGTGTACCTTGGTCATGTGGGACAGAACTCCCTATCAGTCCTTGTGTAGCTATCTAGGCCTGGTATCCTTACATTGGGTTTGACAACTTTCTACTTTTATTTTATTTTAGATCTGGGTTTTTTTCAATACTAGTCTTCCACCACTGGTAGTTTCAAC